TGATTGATATGGAGGACTCAAGGAAGAAGTGCCATCAGGAGACGTGTGGATGAGCAATAGCTGCAGCAGACATGGATGGAGCGTCCCTAGACATCAACAGAGGGTTGGAATGCCAGTGACGCATTGGTGGTGGTGGGTATGGATAGTTGTATGGAGGATAGAAATCCCACAGGCACGATCCAGCTGGTTGGGATCGAAATCCCCATAAGGTAATGGCATCTAGTATCTACAGGGCTGTCAGCTTGGAACTTGCAGTGGGAAGAACAACGATGCGACATCCTTGGAGATGCCTTTGGTGATGACTGGCCACCTGGAGTGGAGGTCGGTAATCTCGCAGTCTGCTGATCAGGACCCGATGGAGGAGGCGATTCACAGATCTCCCCATCCAATATAGAGGCTCGTGTCACTGGTTCTGGGTACTCCAGGCTAGAGTAAGGAGAGACTAGGATGCACAGAGGTGATGGTGGTGCTGTCACCTGCATAATAGATGGTTCGGTCGGTACCGAGATGGGCGGCAGACTAGATGGGTCTGGACGAGGCACCTGAGGGTGTTTCTTATGACAGCGATTAGTCTTATCTTTTTTAGGGTGCTGTGATTTCGTGGCCCCTTTGGATCCAGTATGCTTACTCTTCTTCTTATGCTTTTAAGGAGAGGGAGACCAAGTGGAGCACTTGCCATTGGTACTGACGTCATCCCCTTGAGGTGGACGAGAGGGGGCACTCTTAGCAGAACCGGGAGTAGCAGAGGAGGCAGCCACCATGACCTGCTTCATTGCAATGAGAGCCTGGTCCCACAGCATTTTCTTCAATCTATTCTCCCGATTCTTTCTAGGCTGCCTCATGAAGGACTAGCAATGGCTACACTTATCCATTCTATGGCCCTCTCTGAGGCAGAGAGTGCAGATCAGTTGGAGAAATTTTTGCTCCGCACTGGATATTCTTACGGAAAGCCACCCACTACACCATCAAGAAGAACAAGAGAGAAGGGAGATATAGTCAATAGAGTAAGGAGACGATATCAGGGCTTTGGGGTTTTTTTTTTTTTCATTTTTTGGGAGTGAATAGAAGTTTGGGTGGAGGGAACAAGTAGCGAGGAGTTTGGAGAAAATGAAAGGGTAGATATCAGAAAGTGAAGAAGAAAGTAAAAAGGCAATCGAAGTGAAATGCTATCGAGGAAAAAAGGCAACGAGATAAACAAAAGAGCCCAAGGCACAGCGAATGGCAGTTGCAGGCAGACTGGCAAAGGGATAGGTACTCCACCATTTATCCCAAAGGGGAGGGGGGTGTGGAATTCCCACCAAAACCATCAAATCTGTAAAATCTTCCCAGCAACAGGCACTGCACAGGCACAGCACCCATATATGTGTGATACAGAGCACAACAAAGAACTATAATGATCTTTTTGCAAGCTTCAACAAAATATGGACAGAAAGACTGGAATTTGGGGGGGGGGGTTGTGAATTTCCAGGTTATGAATTCATGTATTTCTGTAAGATCCCCTGGCATTTTTCTTTTACATTTTTCTTCTTTTCTGTATTTTCTTTTAAGAAAATAATCATTTTTAAAGAATTTGAATGTCTTAGAATGACCCAACAAACAAAACCCAGACCTCAATCTAACAGAATTGGTAGTAATACTTAACAGTTCTTGTTCACCAACAGTGCCCATCCATACTGACTGAGCTGAAAGAGTTTTGCAGGAAGAATGGGTAAACATCACAGGATCCTGATGTGTAAAGTTGATAGAGACTTATCCAAAAAAACTTGCAGCTGTCATTGATGACAAAGGTGCTTGTATCAAATCTTGGCTCAGGGAATACGTATGCAACCAACAAGTGCAAGTTTGTTTTTGTTTACTTAACTTTTGTGCCACAACAGAAATATTCTACACCTGCAGAGTGTTGATTATCTTGTGTGTATCAGGTGGCAAAAATGCCAATTATACCAATTTTAATTCCAGCTTCTAAACATCATAATATGGAAAAGTCAAAGGGGATGAAAACTTTTGCAAGGCACAGTAAATTGATTGGCCACTGAATCCAGGAGGCTATTCCACAAATGTTTTACTAAGTAAAACGGGATCACACTAAGATCTTAACCATACTTACAAGGTATGCAGACTCAGTGTGATTTACATTTAAGTAACACTTTTATGGTTGTGTTGAAGTTGCAGCCTAAACATATGCATATTTATTCAGACATTTCACTGTATTCACGTCCTCTACTTAGAGAAGGCCATCTACCAAAACTCAACAATTGGGTAAGGAAGACATTAGTCAGAGAAGCAACCAAGAGTCCAGTGGTAACTCTGAAGGATCTGAACAGAACTGCAGCTGAGATGGGAAAAAACCATCAATAAGATAACTATCACCTGGGCTTTATGGAAGAGTGGCAAGGAGAAAGCCATTGCTGAAACAGCATATAAATGTCCATGATTATCTTGAAGGGAAAAATGTCTAGCTAGTTGGCAATTTCAGAACTTTAGATAAATGGAATGCTTTGTTGCTGAATTCATATCATTTTAGGTTTTTTTTTTTAAATACAGATAGTGGAGAATAATAGTTCAATATGAAAGAGACAAACATTGAAGGAAATTCAGGAAAACAGGCTGGCAAAAATTACTTATACTTTCCATTGTCTCATTCAGACATGTGTTTAATAATCTTTGCAACTCAGTAAGAAAGAACAACAAAAAAGGTTGTTTGATTTTGAAGAATTTTACCAGGTTCATGAAGGCTTTTAAAACACTTTTATATATAACTCCAGCTCTATGCAATATCTTAGTATCATCAGCATTAAGAAAAGCATATTAAATAAAACAACCTGGCACAAATTGTCAGCAGACTGGATCTTTGTGATTATAACCAAAATTAATTCTCCATTGCTACTTGAACAACTCTGACTAATCTGTTGGTGTGTATCACGGTAGGTAATGAGAGGAACAAATTACAGGGTAAAGCCTTGAGCCTTGAGCAGGAAACCAGAATTCTTCCTTGGTATGTTCTCTTTCTTCTTCAGCTGAGACTATTCAGAGCAAACAGCCTGTGATAAATTATATTTTATGCTCCATGCAATAACTGGCCATAGCTTGTAGAATTGTTTTGAGATTCAGTTATTTGCATGTAGGGTATTTTAAATAAATGGGCTATTCACATGTAATGGCAGCATTCAGAGGCAAATTGCATTAAGAAGAAACAAAGGTTTAATTGTGGGTTGTCTAACCCACAAACAACACAATGTGCCCAGCTTCAGACATTACACTAATAAACTAAGGACAAGCCAATCATAGGCTAATGATGGAAAGTGGATATGGCAGGCACACAGGAGAAGCATGCCCACTCTCTCCTAGGCATGCATGACAACCCATGTATTACTTAAACTATGAATTTTGTTGCATGCAAGCCATGTCTGACAGTGGTCTTAAATAGGAGGTTTTATAGACTATATTGCACATATGAGTATAAATTACAACACAACACATTTTCAAGGCTAAATTATCCTATGGCAGACAGAGGAATGTGAATTTAGACTTTATACTGTTACCAATTCATGGTCACCAAAGCTCAGATTGGAGATATATGGCATCCTTTTCCCCCTTCTCCTTTAAGATTAATGGAATGGGTTCCAGTTGTGTTGCCCATCTAAATATAGGCCTTCTAAGTCTTAGCACAAAGATCCACATATCCTTACACATTCAAATCTTGGTGACTTCTAGCCTGATCCAGCTGCTATCAACTTTCATAGGACTGAGTAACAACAGTTATTTTGATACCTATATGTTCTTTATGGTGACCCAAAGAAGTTAAATAGGATTTCTAGAAATTATCCTTGCCTATTCAAGTCTCATAGAAAGATAAAGTTATTCAAGTACCATGGATCCTTTAGAAGAGTGCAAACGTACACCTAGTCCATTCTTGAGACAAGAGCTCTTTGTATTCAAAGGAATCTATCTATCTATAATGTATCTGTAGACAGTGGCAGTCTTAATGCAATTTCTTTTTCCAGCAGAAAAGGAAAATTGGCTCTCACTTAAACTCACTGAGCTGGCTGAATATTGAATATAGAGCTGAAAACAGATTAAAACATACAAAGGAGAGAACTAGCATATGACCAGGAAATATTTCTTTCAGTGTAACTGAATTTAATTCAGTTTTAATTAAATAAAATTTAATTCTTGTGAAAGTGACAAATCATTCTGGCTAAATTCTTGTGTAGCAGTCCTGACAACACATTTCTGGAAATTTACTTCTCTCCGGCAATGAAATATATATTTGAATGCTGATTTCCTTCTTGCTTATTCATTCGGCTAAATGTTTATAAAACTCCTCCATAGTAAATATATTAAGTGTCTATAACAATATTTTCATCACATAGGTGACATAAAACTTCCATATTAATCCACAGTTTTTCAGCATGTTCATTCTTGCAAGACTGTTTCCCTTTCACCTATCAGTTTTCAGCACAGCTCTTCCATGAACTTAAAACTTTATTCCATTTTGTATATATCCAGTGCACAAGCTCCCATTCTCAACTTCCCAAAGAGTCTGTGTGTCTTTCCAAACACAAAGGACATACCTATATGTAAATGGAACACATTAGATGTATTTGTTGGTTTACTTAAAACAACCAGTCTAATTAATCTCATGTGCTATGTCTGGAAAGCAATAGATGATGAAGAACTTTGAAAATACGCTTAAATCTATCAAAAATACTGATAGTTTAAAATATTTGTCTCCACATTATTAAAGCTATTGTTAAATTATATTTTTATAAATGCCAAGTACAAATAGATTAAAAAGTGATAAATCATGGTATAAAAAGAAAACCTTTTTCAGGAAAATGTATTTGCAATTCAACTGATCTTATAAAAGCGCAAATTTTAAAAAGCTTATATATTTTTATGTGCTATAGTTTCACCATTCACTCCAACTACATTCCAGAATACTGTAAGAGAGTTCAGGGCACATTGTCTTTGTGCATGTAGCATAGTAACCACAACTTTTACACTGAAGTCACTCTCATAACAACCTCTCCAGAGCTGTTGTCATCTGATGAATCCTCTTGAGGTCTCATTCGACTGAAGAGATGTAACAAAACATAGCCACACTGAAATCTTGGTGAAGTTAGCTGTGTTGGATGAACTAAACTTCTGCTTCTAAGTGCATTTAATGGCAACCACAAAGTCCTAGCTGTTGAGGATTCCCCTTGGTTGCTCTCTTCTATATCGGTAGCTTTGTCATAATTTAATACATCCCAGTGCAGATTGACAGCCCTCCAGCGCTTAAATACTCTGCAAACTGATGCACCTTCATGTATGATAAGTCCTGAAATTAAAGAAAAGTAATTATTCAAGTCCTTAGTTTTTTGCAAAAAGCAAAGCATTTTGTGAGTGGAATTGCTTGTCTGAACCACAGCACATTTAAGCCAGATACCTGGATTACAGGTGACTAGGTCCAACAGATATATATCTAGGTATGCTACTTTAGATGGATTATGGGTAGCACTCTTAATGAAAAAAATAAACTGATGACATTCTAAATACAATTATCATTTATATTAAGCTGCAATCCTATGCAAGTTTAGACATAGCTAGGGCATGCTGGGAGTTGTAGGCACTTTCTTCTGTCTAAACATGCAGAGCGATTATGCCCTTAATACCTGTCATGTGTACATAATTGATTAACATCTAGTCCCGTCACTGGGATATAGTGAGGATCTGCTTGTTGTCATCATTTACTAGATTCACTCTTTCTGCTTCTTTCAGTAATTATTTCAATATGGTATTAAATTTTGAAAACACTTTGGAAAAATAGCTGAATATAAATACTGTGACTTTATCTTAAGCATTATCTTGCCGGATCAGAATGAATAGTCTAGTCTAGCTCTGTATACAGATGTAATCAATGCACTGTAGGACCCAATCATACCACTACCCTAATCTATGAAATAACCCTGAGGGTCATTAAACAAGTAGCTGCAATTCTGTCATAATTAAGCACCAAGAACTGCTAATTTTATTATTATTTACTTTATATAATTACATTCCACCTTGTAGTCCATAAGCATATTAAAAGTAATATAAAAATAAGCAATCAAGCAGCACATTAAAAAAGCAAAAGAGAGATCAGCAGACAATAGAAACTAAGGCTTATTCAGTTGTCATTGGACCCTCTAAAATGCTTTTCATGGTGTATCAAACATGAGCAATGATAGAACCAAATGAATGCTTACTGAGAAAGCTTCTTAGAGTCTGGATGCTGCCACAAAAACATTCAGGTGACCACATCAGTCAGCGGGAGGCATAAAACAGACTTCAAATGATTATCTAAATGAATGTGTGGCATGTGGCCATATGGCATGACATTTTAAGGATCAAAAACAACACTTTGCATTGGGCTTGGAAATAACCTGGAGACCAAGTGAAATGATACTGGAGCTATATGCTCCTTCTGCTAGGTTAGTGCTATGTTTTAAACCATTCTTCAGAGAAAGTCTCATGTAGAACATATAACAGTAGTCAGGATGTTACTGAGGCATAAGTAACTGTGGCTAGATCTGACATTTCTGAGAAAGTCAAAGGCTTTTTCTGCTGGCATACAAGCCCAAACTAGAGAAAAGAACTCTCAGCCAAGGCTACTTGGGCATTTGGGAGTCCAGAAGCTACCAACTTGAATATAATTTAAGGAACATTTTGCTAAGACGGATCAAAGGTCCACCTAGTTCAGAAGCCTGTTTTCTATAGTAGCTAACAGAGTGAGCTCAAGGACATTTTGCTACCCGAGGCAAAGTACACAATCTGTTCCCCACCCCACCCCCCACCCATTCCATGTTTAAAAGCTAACTGGCCTGGGTTGACAGATGAGTCTTATTTCAGCATTGACAATTAGGCAGTCCGCTTCACCATTCCTGAGGGCAAATGAGTGAATTTAAGAGGAGTAGGGTAGGCTGCAAGATGCGCACAGCTCTGTCCTTCAGCCCCTCACTACCATTCCCCACTCCTTAGCATCTATTGCCTGACACAGCTGCTTCACTCTGCCTAATGGTAGGGCTGACTCTTGTGGCTAACCAGATTTTTATGGGAAGTACTCGTACAATCCCATTCAAAAGAGGCTTATATATAATCATACAGAAGGTTTTCCTCTGGTCAGACAACTGTACTATCTTGTCCTGATAAACTTCGGTTTGTTCACCCAGAACCAGTCCACCACCATTTCAGGCACTAGTTTAGCACATTCCACGCCTTTCTGGGAAGTGATCGAATGGAAAGCAGAGTGCTTTCAAATATCTGTACAACATTCACCAGTGTAGCTAGTAAGCAGCATGAAAGACAAGAGAGTATCCTGTGGGATCCCATAAGCCAAAGGCCAAGCAGTAGAGCAGTAGTACATTTCATTACCAATGCCCAAGATCTAATCTACACTAAGGGTACCGGAACCACCACACACATTGTGCCCCAGTCCCAATCCTTTCAAAATAGCCCAGTCTCCATGGTTAATGGCATTCAAGGCTTTTGAGAAGTTCAAACACCCTAATCAGGAAAAGAAAATTGTCTATTTCTGAGCATCAGTCATCTAGCAGGATGACCAAGGCTGTCTCAGTCCCCAAACCCAATTGGAAGACAAACTGAACAGCAAGGAGGGAATCAGTATCATTTAGAAATACTTGAAGTTAGGTCACCACTACATTTTTGAGCACCTTGCCCTATTACAAAAAGCATGTACTTGATAGCCCCATTGAAATAAATGCATTTTAAAAATGCTTAACCTTGATGAAACAATGACCAATATATACATTGTTTATATGCAACTTTGAGAATTTTAGCACTTTTTGAAAATAACTTTAGCAGCAATCTTTCTGTCTTTTTCTCTAAATGTTTTTGTTCTCCCTGTCTACTGCTCATCACTTATTTTCTTGCTCTTGCAATAGCTGCAGTTGAATGGAAGAAGGGGAGAAGACCCCTCTTTTCACTCCCACTTCTCCCACTGTGCTCATAGTTTTATCAGCATGCTAATACCAGAGGGAGAAGAGATAATAGACAACTACCTTCATTCCTCCAAGTTAATGAAACAGAAACCCATGTAAGATACAGATGAAAGTGGCCATGAAGGATCACAAAGCGGCAAGGGAGGCTGAGAGATCAAATCCTGTTGCACTTGCAGGGGCAAGAAAGGAGTGCAACATGCACTGATTTTTCTCAGAATTGGCTTGACTTAGACCAAACTTTTTTTCAAGATTTGAGAGAAATAGCTCAATTTTCTAAGTTTCAGCCCTGCAATTAGTTTGAGACATATGTGTTCACTTCTACAGAACTATCCTTTAACCAGCTACCCACAGCTTGTTTAAGAAAAGAAACTATTTAAGAAAAGTACCCTCTGAAAAAAATCAGCGAATGAGCTGGGCATGTACATAACAAAATTCTCATCTGGAAGATTCCTCTTTCTCCAAGGGTGGATTTTTCATTATCACCTAAAAATTATCTAACTGATCCTGAAAGAACAGCCTGTACTTGACCCTTGTAAAGTACTGTTAATTTCATCTCCATAACTTAGCATTATGGGCTATCCCTTAGAGTTGACTCTGCTCCCCTTTAAGCTTCAGTTCCGTTTTCCTCCCATGCAACAGTAAAGAAGCATGTTTGTTCTGCAGTTATTGTGATGAATAGAGCAGGGCTGGGGGCTTGTTGCTAAAGGGTGAAATAAAAAGATAATTTGTAAAATATGTGTCCTGAGTTGCCCTTTATTCTTCTGAAGTGCTCACTAAACTCACAGTCATACTGGCCATTTTTTCTTTGTTATTGTCTAGCTAACTGTAGCTGACTGGATACCTAGGCTGTAACTCAGGTCTAATTTCTAATTTCTCCAATGTGTGCAGGTCAGCATAAGGCTTTTTCAGGGTTTCACAGACAAAAAGAAGGAAGGAAGAAAAAGCAGCCAGTAAAATATTCCAGTTGCTTTCCGTTAGTTTCCAGCTGTTTGCTTGCTGTCTGTCTGTCTGTCTGTCTGTCTGTCTGTCTGTCTTTCTTTCTTTTATATCCCACCCTTCACTATGTCTCAGGGCACTGCAAACAGTTAAGAAGTCTTCCCTTGATTGTTCAGTAGGAAGGAAAATTTAAAGGTCAGGGACAATATGCATTCATTCTGTACTTATTTAATGTCTTGAAACCCTGGGGAGAGAACTGAGTCCTTACAGTAACTATAAACAACTCATCCTAGCACAATTTTTTAAAAGCAACCCTAACATATCCTCAAAATGCAAAAATAGAGAACAGGTACTAGTAAAACTATAGGATCTACTAAACAAGGTATCTGTAATATATGCTAGACCCTTAAAAATAGAAATAGAAGCATGAAAATAGGAGAGTGCATGAGAAAGAAAGAGAGGCATGAGACCTGGGGAAGGAAATATTCCAAAATTCAAATATTTAGGTTTATATTTCTGTCTTACCCTGCCTCTTAGGTGCATCCCTTGTGCTTTGCTTTGGTTCCCTTTCCTTTGTGACAGTGGTTCTCAAAGTGAATCATACCTCCTTAGAAAGGGATGAACAGTTGTCAGGGGAGAAGTAGCTCCATCCTAATCCCTCCCAATGAAATATAGAACACTGTGTAACCCACTATGTGTGTTGCCTACTTTTTCACAAGATTAAAAGCCCACTATAGTTCCAATTATCTAAGGACTATTCTCAGTCCCTTTGATCTGCCAGGTTGTGGGTGAGAGTGACCACAACCAGGCAATCATTATAGTCACTGGTTATTTAAAGGCTTTAAACTTGAGAAGCTTACTATGACTAACATTGAGAATCCCCACTCTGTGTTTCAACTTGCCTCTGAATAACCTGGTACAGATTTCTATTGATACAGAATTACAGGACAGCAGCAGCAGCAGCAGCTATACATATATCAAAAACACAAGAAAGGGGAAATCTCAAATTATCTCTTCCCACCTTTAGCAAAATTGATGAATGGATTGATTTTTGGAGCTTACCTATGCACACTAGATCCATAAAGCCATACATTCCATAGCAGATTTGAAAAAGGAGGTCTTTTCTTTGCCATACTGCATAAGGGCTGAAGGCCGACCACAGAAGCCATGTTACACTTGCTAATAAGAACAGTGATCCCAAAATTACAGCAATCATCTGCACTTTTTCAACCAGACTTATAGTAATACTTTGCCACTAAAGAGAAGAAAAAGTAATATGGGATAAAATGTTTACAAAAATCAAAGTCCATTTTGACCACTCATGAAAATATTAACAGATCCCCTTTACATTGGTGCATGCATGCTGTAGAGCTTTTCACATTCAAACTTGAGCAAAGGCCTCATTCCTCTTTCTCATTAAATCTGTTTAAAACTGACAAATAAGATTAAATAACAAATTGGGGTGTCATGCAGAAATGATCTGCTCTTTGTAGTAATTAAATGAAAGTTTAAATACTTGGTGCAAACATGGATCCCTGTGAATAGATTTCTGTGTCCAATATTTTATTAATTCAGAAAAAAATTGTAGTAATGAGAAGTTGCAGGTTTACATGCTTACTACTTAATTCTGTTAAAAGAAGTGCAACCAATATATTTGGCCCTTGCCATTCATACAATAATCAGAGAAACAATAAAATAGTGATTTAAAAGCAAAATGGACACTACAGACTGCATGGAACACAGTACTAGAAGAGAAGTAATTACTGTGGGCACAATCCAGCCAATGGTAAGCACTTCCTAGAAGTATCTGCATTACTGAGAGAGATGTGCAGACCAATTCGATGGATGTTTACTCAGAGGTCCCACTGAATTCTATATAGCTAGCTCTCCAGTAAGCTTCGGCGAATGGGGCGGCATATAAGTGTGCTAAATAAATAAATAAATAAATAAATAAAATTACACTTTTGCATAGAATTGTAGCCTTAGGAATGTTCTTAACTCTCTGATGGAAATTAACAAGACTTAAGGAAGTTTACAAGATTTAAAGATGTTTACTTAAGCCAAGTCATAGCCCTTCATAAGATATGTCCAACTATACAATAAAATATCTGACATTGAAAGGGAACATTCAGGAAAATATTGCCATATAAAACAATTAATTGGATGTGAACATGCATTCATGTAGAAAAATGTTACAGTGTAGTCATAACTTGAACACTGCATCTTTAATGTATTCTAAATAGTTAGAAACAACATCTCAGTGACATTCCAGACTTGGACTGTATTTCAAGCACTTGTCAGTACCTATTGCTGCCAAATTTTGGAGAACTAAGTAAAATTTAAATAACCTAAACGCCTGTTTTGCTCTGACTATGAGAGTATGGATACAACTAAGGCTAGTGGGTTTTTAAAAAAACATTTTACTGTAACCTAAAAGATTATGAATATACTCAGCATAAAACATTGCTCTTTGTATTTTTGCAAGTTTCAGATCGTTCACAGTCTTGCTCCAATCAAGCATCCAGAGACAAGAATTCACAGAAAAGATAAGGGGGAAAACGAAGAAGCATGTAATATGTATTATCAGACTCCCCACAGGTATCCTGCCTAAAAGCCTCTGAAAACAAATATCCATGAGAAGTGTCAATTCTGCCACTAACAAGGCTCTCAATAGTAAAGCAACCCACAAAGGAAAGCAAGCGAGAAGTCCACCAGGAAAGAGAGAGGGGATGAGACTGTTCACTTCAGAAACTAACATCCAATACATACTATACCTCCTATCACTAATCCCTTCTTCCTGTGGTCACTGACACTAGAGGCCTGCTAATATAATATCCTAGACAGTTAAGTTTTCACGATGTGGTGTATGTGCACGTGTATGTGTGTGCATGCAGGACTGTCTGCTTCAGTGGTCCCCAAACTTTTTTGGGCTACTACCCCCTTTCCCCTTGGGCAACAGCCCTAGTACCCCCATGCATCTTTCTTTGTATTATGTCTGTTGTTGTAGTGCAAATTTAAAACAATCGATCACGGCACCCCTCGCCCCCTGGATCATTCCACTACCTCAGGGGAGCAGTACTGCCCACTTTGGGAATCACTGGTCTACATGTACCTGAGGGAAATTGATGTGTCATATATTAAGTGTCATGAATACTATAAGCATCCTGCTATGTGTGTCCTGTTGTGCTTGTGTAGCCAGGGACTTGCTCCTTGGAATGGGATGCATGGAATTTACCCAGTAAGTATTGGTTTTATTTTTAGACTCTTTCCATTATTTTTTTAAAGAAATCCATGCTATTGAGTGGTTGAGGTGGAGTCTAGGTATCCCAGGAAAGGGACTCATAGCTGCATTTCCTGAATCCTTTTGCAGCATTCTTAACCATGTGTTCACTACCACAAAGCAACGGTTACTGGCTTTGCTCTTGAAACAACAGCTTTCCTGAACATATACTCCCCAGGCCTTTGTAATACAAAGCCATTATTTCCATAACACAGATGCTCATACCTGTCATTATGCATTGTACTGACAACAATTACTGTAAAGAGGTGGCATTAAATTATTTGAATTTATGTCTCATAGATCACTATATAGATTACTGAGCTATAGTATCAAAACCAAAAAGAGAGAAAAGGGGAGGAAGGGAGGGCTGATGTTGTGTCTTCCTGCAACACATTGTGGCCATTAGTTGAGGTGGAGGGGAGGGAGACAGGGACAAATGAATCAGAAAATAGCAGCCCGGAAACTGCTAGTATGGAATATTGACTTTCCTAAACACGTGTCAACAGCATCAATATCACAGAGACTGAAGGATTGCACTGTCAATATTGTTGGCCTGGAATTCAGTGGAGTTACCCCCTATAAAGCACAGATTTTCACAAATTTCCCCTGACAGCAGAGAAATGAAAATAGAAAAAACAGCAAGTTTGTGGCTATCCTTCTAGTATTTGGAACTATGCTTTATCATCAAATAATATAGATTCTCTCTCCCCACCACTAACTTTTTAAAATAATGTAGGGCTTTACAAAATATTTTAAGTAAAAAGATCCAGAGAAAGAGATTAGAAAAGCAGTCTCTTCTTGACATGTCACAATGGGGAAAATACGGAAGTATCTTGGCCCATTCAAAGAAGGAGATAAAGAAGCCATGTTGGTAGTTTCTGATTTGATCATCTATTAAACAGAGGGAAAGAAATAAAAGTCAAATTATAAAACACATCACAGTATGAAAGTTGCAAAGCTCACTGAGAAAGGGCCAAGGTCTGCCATATATTCCTGGTGAGGGCTCATGTGCTTGTTGGCATTTGAAGAAAACTGAAAGATTTGAAATGTTTTTGTAATGGGAAGTAAAGGCATCCTCAAATGAGTATTGTTCCCCAGCAGAAACTTCCAGTTTGATCATAAATCTAATTACATTCATATAATCATTTCAAGAAAAAAATATTGATATAAAATATTTAAAATGTAATCGTCATCACTCTGTTTGCTTCCTTACATTATACTCTGTGTAAGCCAATGACTGTCAGTGTACTTCTTTCAGTCAGTGTTCTTTAGATAGTTGACTACTATTCTGGATGCATATATATAGCAATTTGAGAGTGAAACTGATATGCTGGTCCTCATTTTTTCTATTTCTTCTAGAGAATGAGTATGTGGTTATGAACTGTACTGTCTTGACTATGGTAAATAGGGCTATTGCTATGGTTGGTTTTGCTTAAAGTATCTTCTCATGGGGGAAAGGTAAAGAATTTGACAAAATAATCTTATTTTTCCTTGGCAGCACTACCTTCAGAATGTAACGTCTATCACAGCTAGAGGTAAAGGGAGAAAAACAGTTTAAAGCTATTTTTCACTTTGAATTTGGTAGAGAAACAGGTGCACAGAAATGGAGAATGGAGCTGTGAGTAGGATATAGGTGAAATATCTTAAGAGGCAGAGACCTGGGATGTAGCTGTGCTAGACTGAGCTGTTGTAGAATTTTCTATTTGTTTTGCCATGCTTTCTATGCCTACTTTTAAAGGTTGAGTCAAAGGCAATATCTGAAACCTCAGTTTTCAGACTAGCAAATGGATTCAGCTTCACATAGGTTGGAAAAGCCTTTAGTTTGATACAGTAGAGACTTAAAGCAAAATTACAAAGTGCTTAGCATAGATTGCCTTGTCTGAATGACACCACATCCATTGGCACCCCTAAGCACATCCTCTGTCCTAGTGTACCCCTATGACCCCCCCAGTCTATCCACTACATTTCCCTGAGGATGGGATGTCCCACAGCAGTGGGAGGAGTAGCCATAAAATTCTCCCTCCACCTTTAAACTGTACTGACTGCTAAGATATGTGCTGGGAGCTATGTACCGCCAGCTTCAAACACATGGACATGCATGAGATTTTATCCCAACACACACATGCACACAACTGCTTTTTCATTTCAGTGCCAGGCCAAAACCTTTTTATTTTCCAGCATTTTAAATGTTAGTATTGTTTTTAACATTGATTTTATATATTAGTGTGATGCTGTGTCTTATTTATTTATGTTATCACTGCCTTGAGACATTGTGAAGGGCAGGATACAAACATTTTAAATAAACAAACAAACAAACAAACATTACAGAGACACTGTATATGAGTCTCAAGTCCTTTCTCCAACTGGGGAAGACACAGCACTAGTGTAGGGAATGTGACTATGTTTTACTTAAAGATAAAATGTAAGACATGATGGAGTAAATAACTGTATTCCTCAAAACAGCAGGAAAGAGAGGCTTTACAAAGGCAGTTTAATGAGGAAAGGAAATTTCACAGCAACAGTTTAATCAGGAACATTAAGTGGTGCCTAGTCTGTGGAATGCTCTCAGGAGGCTTATATGGTTACCTCACTGTTTGCCTTTCCATAAGCAAATAAAAAGTGGCTTCTACAGAAAGCTTTGGGCTTGGATTAATTTTATTTGCCGCTGCTATACATTTTCTTTTGATTGTTTTAAACTGTTAACAATTTAAGTGACTATTTTAAATTTTTGTACTTTAAGCTGGCTTGAGTAGACCTAATAGAAAGATGGGATATAAATAATGATAAAAATTAAGTAGCATCTAGAGGCTGCACAAAGGTGATGAGGTCCTCAAGTGATCAACAGCTACTAAGAGTAATAGTTGAGAAAAAAACCAGGATTAGACCACTTCTCTGGATGTCTTTGAGGGAGCTGACAGGCTTGAACTGTAGAGTATTTTAGTCACTCAGTATTATAGTCATGGAATCCTTCCCCAACTATACTATGTGGGAAAGTATTCAGGACAGAGCAGGGAGATAGGCAGATGAAGACAGTTAATGTAGTTTGTTTTGTTTTGGGAATGTGGTTTTTAATATTTCCATTGTATTTTATAACCACTGTGAGCTGCTTTGAGAACTCCAATCAAAAGTAGGCTCTAAATCTACTGAAAAAAAACCTTGAATATGCTTTGTCAATAAAAAGCTAGAGGAAAAGTTCCAGTAACTGGAAAACAACTGGGAAGAGAAAGTACAGGAACAGAAGCATGAATAGCGGCCTGGCCTGCAGTAAGAATAGATATCTCAGAATGGGATTAGCCACGAGTTTAAACCAAGAGCCTGGAAAATGCAACTATAGTAGGGGTGTACAACCTTTTTGCGGAGGACCTCATGCATACATATCACAGTATCACATACTGTGATGCCTGCACATACATATGCATACATACCTGCATGTGCGCACACACAAATACCCATTGTGGAAAGCAATGGTGGAAAATTCTGGTGGTGAGAGGGAATTCAGTGGCAGTGAATGTTCAGTGGGTTAAGGCCTTGGAGAGCTGCAGACCGTGGATCATTGCATTATATCCTCCCACCCCTTTTACTCCATCTACTCCTCAGGAAGGACCTAGCAGATGGGAAAGGCATAATCCAGAAGCCTGTCTTACAATGAAGTGATCCAGAAACCTATACATTACAGAAGCAAAAAGGCTAGGAAGCGTGTTTGGCTTAGTACAGATCAGGAGTATAGTGACACTAGCACTCCTTCCATTTCTCAGGGAGCACTGCAGCAGTTTTTATGCAAAATGTATGTACCACTGTTGAAGCACATACTATTTAATAAAAGTTTCCACTGTGTTCAAAATATGATATTGTGTCATGCACAAAAACTGCAGGAGAAGAAAGGGGAAAAATAGAAAGGGGATGCATGCAGCGAATTGGCCCTTTAAAAAATATTTTGCCCCACTTCATTAGCTATGTTCAAGTATGAAGAAGTGAACAAGCAGAGTGTTTTTAAGGGAGAAAAAATGACAGCTCCCCTCACAACAAATGGAGAAGGGGATGGGAAGAGGAGAAGGAAGCTATAGTTATTCCTGTTGTCAATCTCCCACCTACTATTCAGTAAAGCTAGCAGGATCAGTACCCCCATTTCCCTCCACCCAAAGGCGATCCTGAAATAAGTGCCGCCCCCTCTCCCATGCTGATTTTCCCAAGAGGCACTACAGAAGTCAGTGTGATTTACATCTGAGTAAGCAGCATTGATGTTGATAGCATTTACTTCTGGGTAGACATGTAGTTATTCCTTACAGCGAAGGGAGCGGGAGGGGAAAGAAGTATTTCATTGCATTTACTGGTTAGTGGGGGAGAGAGAGCAGGGGAGGGAGGGGGGTCGGTTTTTGGAGAAGCAAAGGAGTAGGAAAGCAACTGATGGCTGAGTGGGCTTATCTCCTTCTCAGAGTTGCTGCTTTGTCAAAGTCCACTTGCACTTCCACTTGCAGCACCACTCCACCCCCATTCGGTCCAGCGGTCTAGTAGAACCATGGAACAATACTGCAAGTTTAGCACAAACATGAATATGTTGCTCAAAAAGTGCAACCTATAAAAATAATGGAATAACTGGTCTAAAGGCATCTGGGATATAACAGAAATAGCACAAAAATGGTTTGGGATGAACTTTGTGAGACATGCCAGTAAGACAGGCATTACGAAAGCAGTCAAAATGCCTACTGTCTCATCATGCCCAGGTATAACCAATTGGAAGGTTGAAGAAAAAGTGGTCTCTTGTCAGCCATCCAGACTGGATCAGCCATTTCAAGATATCAGGATTAGGGTTTGAACTAGGGTACAAATCAGGTAGCATGGGCAGAGGGGTCTACATGGGGCTGCCCTTTTGACTGTCCAGAAGCTGCAGCTAGTGTAGAATTTGCCACCCAAACTAATAACTGAGTCTAGAAGGTCTGAACACATGACACCAGTTTTGGCCTGCTTGCATTGGCTGCAGTTTTGCTTCTGAAACCGTTAGAAAATGCTGGTTTTAACCTATAAAGCATTACATGACTTGGGACCCCAAAACCTAACATAATGCCTCTCTTAAATATGCACTAATATCGATAACTGAGGCCTTCCTCTGAGTGCCTTCTCTGAGGACACTACAGTCAACATCTGAGGACCTTCTTTGTGTGACCTCCAAGGCTGGATTGGAAGGCAGCTACAAGGGGAAGGGCCTTCTCAGTGGCAATGGTATGTTTTCTTCCACAAGCCTGCCTTGTTCCAACTTTGTCATCCTTTGGGCACCACCAGGTCAAGACAATCCTTTGTGTTGAGGCACTGAAAGGTATTTTTTATTTAACAGTTTGAGTGAGGCACCCATGTCAAGTGTTTTCAACAGGTCTACTTAGCCTATTGCTATATCGTATGCAAATTTCAAACTGTTTCTAAATTTTGTAATGTAGAAATGTTTATGGCTATTTTTATTGCATCAAATCTTGTTTTTCTGCTGAACAGCATCCAGAAAGCTTTAGTTATTAAGAGGTATAGAAATGAAATAAATGAATGAATGAAACTAAATGTAAGAGCACTCACCAAGAGAGATTTTTATTATGATTTTATGTGAACTTAACCAAAATGTGCTTAGAGATTCTGTGCCACTTTGCAGAATCACTGTTGGCCTCAAAACAATGAGAAGCAGGGTTCAGAAAGGGAATGCTGTTCAGGGAAATTACGTATTTTCTAATTTGAATAGGACACGTTACAATCTGGCCACCTGCGTCATTGATAATAGCAAAAAAAGAAAGAACAGTGGGGAGAAATCTATGCTAACAGATTGTAGTGTGTCAGGTATGGAGAAATGCATTTTGGTAGTGGAGTTACAGAACTGTAATACAAAAGGGAGTTAGGGTGTGTAGTAGAAAAGGTCTTATGCATTTTAGTTGCCAATCTCCATGCCTTTAGTAGCAAGAGAGGGAAGTCATGCAAGGTGTCCTCCAGTAACACCCCCAGCAACAGCCATGCTCCTGCAGCTCCATTGGCAAGAAGGCAAGATCTTACAGTAAGGCTGCTGAATCTCTTTCAAGGCAAAGGCCAAATTCCATTTTAGAAAAGTTCTTACAGATCACTTTCCAGAGCTGAAGGCAAAAGTGGCAAGAGAAAAACAGAAACAGAGAGTCAGAAGGAGCCAACCAGGCCATCTAGTCTGACCCCCTGCTCCAGTCGGCTGCACTCATGACATGACAGAAACATAGAAACAGAGCAATACCAGAATGTTGTATCTTAAAGCTCTTATTGCCAATACTAACCCTTGGGAGAGGCATGGCTACCTTTTTGAATGAGTAAAAAACTGCACAAAAACTAGGATACAACCAAAGGATTGATAGCTGTGGGGTGTAGGGGAGTAGGGAAGGGATAAGGTCTCTGGTCTGTCTAGCCCTGTATTTTTGACACAGACTGACAGCAGCTTTCTAGCACTTCAGACAGGTTGCTTTCCTATTTCTCACTAGAGAAACTGGGGACTGAACTTGGAATCCTCTGCAGGCAAAGCATGTACTTTACTGCTGAGCTAAGTATCTTAATGTATCCTTTACAAAATCTGTCTAATTATCAGGATTTTAATTATGAATTAGGTCAAAGCTAGAGGTGAAGTTAAATATATTTTTGCATTCAAAATGCAGAGATTTTTGAAATGCAAGTAGCATCAGTTTAAGAGAGATTAATAATTTTCAGGATCACAGAAGATGTAGAAAAATGATTTAGTATTTCTTCCTGAGCTATGGTGCCTAGTACAAATCCTTCCTCAGAAAGTAAAGCAGGGAGAGGCTGCCACCCCATGATCTGCCTGATCATCTGCTGGGCACACTGGGAGTAACATGGCTTATGATATTGTGTGAACTCACCCAATGTAGGATATTCCCCCAATGCACACAATTGCTCTAGAAGAGGCATTTTCTCAGCACTATGACAAGGGAGAATAGAGTTAGATCACCTCTGTATGCCTTCTGGGATCCTGATAATTCTAGCATCTCTCTCCCAGGAAATAGTATTTGCATTTTCTTAAAAATCCTTGCATGTTAATTGTAGATTCATATAACATCAAATCTGCTTAAGTTCTGACTTAACTCAAACACAGGACACACAATCTTTGTGACTGATACTGACTTTTTTATTCCCTGGACAGTATACAAACCTGTTGTCTGGCAAAACTGACCCTTATTTTGTCAGGACAGCCTTCTCTACTACATGTCTACTTGCAGATTTCTAAGGAAGGGAATTTGGCAATGATCAAAGCACAGTGCACATAGTGCAGTGAATTTGGGCAGAACTCAGGACAGCTCTTATACTACTTCAGGTTGTACTGATAAAGTCTAGGCTTATGGTTTCCATAATTTTCACTAAATAACAGCTTGGAAATTATTTACACTGTGTTATGATCAAGATGTGTAGACATACTATACAAAGCAAATCAGTCCACACCATGAAGACTAAACCAAAATGCATTATTTGGGGAACATTATCTAAAAATGTCTATATGATTACTGAAAATATTAAAACATTACCTGACAAGGCCTTTTCATTTTAATTGCTATAACATGGTATCTGTAACAGCAAAGTTCACAAGTCCAGGACCCTCTTTCACTGATCCACTTCAACAGGCAAAGCTGATGTGTATACCGTACTGACCCATCACATCGACAAGGATTTAACAGTTCACCCTAGAAAAAATAACTAAGAGTTAAATGTCAGGAGGAATGCACATACATACAATATTAAGCTTCTCTGGTCCTTTTCATAAAATCAGTTTTCCAGCATTCAGGGAAAAAATTGGATGGAATATCTATTTTAGAGAATATCTTTCTTTCCCAGATATTATTCTATTTATTTTTCCCATTCCAGGCTTGATAAATATCAAAGAATGTATCCATACACAAATTACCTCCTTAAGCACAAGGTAATATTACTTCTATAGCATTTGTAATAAATATTGTTCTGCAGTCATTCTTATTCTATACTAATAAAAATGTGTGCAATCCAAGTGATCATCGTATGTCAAAGGGTTTTACAGAGTAAGATTCAAACATTTCAGAACTATAATGTAAGGTTGCATTAATTCAAGTGGCATATTAATCTCCTCCTGTGTGGCCACATCTGTAATACATCTGATGGATTCTGAAATCAGCATGATCATGAACTTTAACACCTAACAATATATTGAACAACTTAATCAGAGCCCCAGGAATCTAAACCTTCCTCTTAAAACAATGCAAATTTCCACAATGCATTTCTCAGGTTTTGAAACCTTAGCAGTCATATTGAAGTGCAGATTTCAGATGATACTGAACCTGTAATCCAAAACACATGTATTCAGAAGTAAATCCCATTGAACACAGTGGGCTTTACTTTTGAGTAAATATGCATAGGATTGTGTTAGGAGTGTGATTTGATCATTTAGTGGATCATTACCCCTTTCCTTAGCCCCATGCCATCCTTCTTTTACAGAAATAAACTCTAACTGCTTTCCAGCATCAGAAAACTTCTTCACTGGCTCACAAAAAAGTAACTTAAAACCCCAAATTAAAACAAATTGTACAAATATAATTGCAAGTTCTCCAGACTTTAAAGAAAGCAAGGAAGGTAGCCATGAGGGAAAGGGTCTTTTCAATAGTGGCACCCCATTTATGGAGCCAATTCCACAGGGAGGTGTGCCTGGTGCCAACACTGTATACATTTTGACACCAGGCCTAACCCTTTTTTTTTTCCTGTTATTTTAACTGTTGACTAGAGGTGTTTTTCTATTGATTTTTATTATAATGATTAGTTGCATTAGCTCAATATGTTTTTATTTTATTTTTTGTTATGTTCATTTTTTGGCATACATTGGTATTTTTGTACAGATGTGATGCACACTTGTTATATTATTTTAATGTTTTAACCATTTGAAAACCATTCTGAGAGCAATGCATGGGGAGAATGGTATATAAAAATCTTTAAGAAAGCAAACAAATAAATAATTTAGATAATCCCATTCCAATGGCCACTAGGCAGTTGTACCTCCTTTCAGGAGGAGTATAATGGCATGAGTGACCTGGCCAGATCCATCACCCAAAAAAAGAGCAGCTCGAGGAACTTGCTTACTCCGATCCTTCAGCTAGGGAACTAAGGGTTTCTGGATTGTGTGGGTTTGTGTATATGCATTTGTTTGTGCGTGTATCATTATAAGCTATAATGACTATATTTAGGTAAAGATAGGAAGAGCATATATGGAAGACTGTATGGCACAAATACAATAATATATTGTTCAGGAATAAAGTACATAAGGAAGATGAACTTGCAGTGAATAAACAAATAATGGCTCAGATGTCCTCTTAATAAAGAGATGAACATACTGAGATTGTTAATATAAAACAATAGTGTAAGATCAAAACAAGAGAGAATGTGAAAATACTATATATTTATGTAATGGATGTATATATTTCCATGTTTAGGTCTTCAAGTATGTTTGAATAAAATTGTTTACAGTCTGAGCAGAAGTGGGCTTCTACATGTAGATCTTCCATAGAACAAGGAAACAAATTCTTTTACATTATGCTAAACAACTTTTTAGATTCTTGCTGTCTTTGCCTCTGTGGATGGACAAAGAGAAAGCTCTCACTAGAAGCTGCTACTTCTCAGACCATAGTTGTGAACAGACCATACAATGTCTGGGTCAGATATACTCCCTCCAAAATTATTCTTATTCTTGCTTTATGCCAGTTAGAATCCATACAGGAGGACTCATGAAGGACTGACAGTTTGGAACATAAGAAGAGTCATGGTGGATCAGTCCAACATTATGTTAACACAGGGCATTAATGAAACAGTGCCCTTCCAACCGAGTTCCTCAGTAATGGGCTGTTTTAATCTCTCAGATGGGGCAAAGAGAAACTTGTCCCCACAGGCACCTACCCCCCCAAACCAAATCCAGGAGGGCACCAGATAATTTCCAGAAGAGAAGTTAGGTACTAAGCATAGATAGATTTTTTTAAAAAAACCATCTTTTCCAAAACCCAAACCCATCCATAGACATATGAGCAAAATGAAAAGCGATGTAGAAGTTGCAGGTTTGAAGTCCTGGTTGTAGTAGCTAAGTAAAGTACTGTGCTTGCAGTCTTCAGCTTGATCAGCATCCTGTTAGAAAATGCAACAGTAGGTGAAGAACTTCTTAGAAGAGGTACTGGCATCATCACAAGCAAACAAAGGTCACCAGTCAAGTTATAGATTAGGCTAACGTGGTATTCTGATTACTCTAACTATTTTGTGAGGATGATTCTTGGAGTTTCTAGATAAAAGGGAACAGAAAATGAGGGGGAAATGCATTGCAAACCTGTACACCTGATTTGTGTACCTGGAAATATATTAGAACAAATAATAAAACAATAAGGGCACATCTCAGCCAATGTTAAGCACTTTAATTTCCAGTTCAGTGAAGAAAGCAGTACTTCTCTCTCCCACTGAGATCACAATCTAGTTTTAACCAGTGACTAAACATGTAGAGAACTGTACCCTTAATTTTACTTAAATAATAATGAGTGATTGTCAACAGCATAGATCATGCCAGAACAATCCAACTTCCTTCCTTCCAGATACTGCTCTATAGACAAAAAGGCTGATGATATAGAATTCAGCTAGTTTTCACTTAGTCTTATTACAATGTGGTAACAACTGTTTGAAACATGGACAATAATTTAGCAGTCTAACAGTCTGTTAGACTGTTAGTTAAAAAACAAACTCAAAAGAGTGGCAACGTGTCTCAGCCTCTGAAAGAAAGGAAGTCAGGAAGTACAGGAGGTGAAGGGGAAAGAAGAATCACAAGGATCATCTTCAACCCCTTTCTCCAGCACAAGTAAAATGCCATTAAGTGCTATTCTGAGGCATGGAGATAAAGAAAATCAAGAAGGGACATTTGTAAAATATTGCATGTAGGAATGAAGAAAGAAGAGAAGGCAGAAAATAAAACAGGTTAGTAGTTTATAGTTTCTAAGGATGATTTAGGTTTAGTAAGAATAACAAATTGGACAAAGTGGGGTCTGATGGCAAACTAGTAATGCCACTGATTTTGGAAAAGTCATAATAGTATTCAACTGAATATATGTAATAATGCTATGGTACTGCTCAATATATGCAAATGTTTAGGAAAGACTAGAGGAAATTAAATTATCTTACACAAGACATGGTAGGGCAAGGAAGTATGTTGGCAGAGGAGTGTGAGGACAACTGCTAAATGAAAGACCAGTAGACACCCAATGATTTCACATGGAAGATTCTAGAATTGCCTTCCTTGAAGGCTTTCAAGAAAAGATCGGGCAGTTATATATCAAAAAATGTGTTATATTATATGCCATCCTCTCTTACGGCACAGTATTCAATTAGATAATTCTTCAAAGAATGGAATCCTATATTCAGTTAACCCAGTTAGCTCCATTGAACTCAGTGGGTCTAACTCTTGGGTAGACACACAGAAGATTGTTCTGGAATTCTGTAAGACGTCAGGTAGAAGGGAAAGATAGTTAAAGCTTAGCTATATAGTGACTTAGGCAAATGTTTCCAGTTACTTCATGTGGATAATCAAATAATAAAAATTTTACACTCCAATTGTTTTACTCAGGAGCTTACTTAGCTAGAGAATAAATAATTTTATTCAATCCAAGCGACCACTACCAATGAGTAATCCCACTCCCTTGCTTGGCTTCAATAATACACATTCATACTGCTCTCAAGTGTAGTTTAGAGAGAAGCAAAAGAAAGTGGCGGGGGGGGGGAGGGAATAAGAAGGTCTGGCAATCATGCAAGTATGTGCCTTGACCTTGTCCAGGTTGGGCTGCCCAACAAACTGAAGATCTAGCCCTTGTTCAACATCCCCATAGTAAAAGTTGTGTATGATATAAAAGAAGCATCTGCATATACATGCCTGTGCACATGTGTGTCTGTCAACTGCAGCATTATGCACACAGAACTGGGCTGTCTAACAATAAATACTAGACTTAAATGCCAACCATTTTTAAATGGTATGTGTAAAATTGCATATTTTATCTGCACTGACAGGTATTTCTTAGCGTCAGCACGTCCTAGGGCCTCCATTTTAAGGTCTGAAAATCAGCAAAGACTAATAATGATGATTGCCAGTGTGACCTACAGCCTGCATCCCCTTACTAGCAAGAGTTGCTTGCTCCTCCAGTCTGGGAGGAATGTTAATGACCACTACCGACATTTCGCTTTCCTAGCCCTAACGGGCAGCACGTCAAGGCAAGGACCCTCACCCAAGCACCCTTGGCCAAGATAAGCACGACGACGATCCCGCCCAGCTGCGAAACGCTGGGTCCCGCACCTCCTCTTTTCTACAGGGCTTTCCCTGCGGCCACTGGCGCTGTCCGTGGTGCTGACGGCCTCCATGAGGAGCAGCAGCAGCCCTCCAGCTCTGCCCTCCGCCTCCCAGTGCTCGAGCGTCGTTCTCCGCACTACGCGCAGGGGAGCGAAACGTGCGCGTGTCCCCCCTTTCTACCCCCCCCCCCGAAAGTCATTTTATGGCTCTGAGCCGGGAATGCATCCCGTCCCTCCGAAGGGGAGGGCGCGCGCGCACGTGCTGGGAGGGGGGACGGCCCCAGCCCACCCCTTGCCAGGGGACACCTCCCCGCGCCCGTGTCCGCCCACACCGCTCACCTGCTCGGCGCCCTGGAAGCAGATCTTGCAGATCGGGCCGGCGCCGAGTCCGCCAGCTTCCCCGCTGCTATTGCTACACACCGAGCGGGTCTCGGGCTTCTCGCCCTTGCCCGCATCGCCCTCCGCGGAGGGGCCGCTGGGGCCCGGCCAGGGCGTGGGGACCCCCGTGGCTTTCGCGGCGGCTGCCTCAAGCGGAGGCTCCGAGAGGGGGGCGGGGGCTCGCGGCAGCTCCGCTCCGCCGAGGCTGCCGCCGCCACCGCTCATGGGGGACGCGGGCGGCCGGCGGCACACCGGCCCCTGACGACCTCCCCTCCGCCCGCCCACCCAGGGCGACGCGCCCCCGCCCGCCTTGCGGAGTGGGGCGGGGAGAGAGCGAAGCGAGGAGATGGGCACGAGCCGCCCGCCCGCCCGCGGAGGGCAAGCAAAGCGGTCGCCGCGTGTCGGCCGCCGCCTCCTCGCCCTCCCCCCGCCCGGCTTCTGACGCCAGCGGCCGCCTCAGAATGCGGCGGGGGACAAACCGTTAGAGACCGTTAACGGGCACGAGCCGAGTGGGGGGGAGGGGGCGGGACGGTGCAAGGGAGCCCCTCCGCCTTTTTTCTCCACTGACACGCGCCAACGCGCGCCCCCCCCCCCCCCCCCCCCCCCCCCCCCCCCCCCCCCCGGCTCCCGCTCTCGCCCCTTCCCTCCGCGCGGAGGGGGAAGCGGTCTCCGACCCGACCGCGTCCAGCCCGCCAGAGAGTCGCTCGGGGTGCTCATTCGTCGCGCTCACTCTCCCCCCC